AACACTCTGTCATTGTCAATACCACCTTCTGAGCCCTTCAGCTGGTTGCTTGCTCTAAAGATCTTCTTAGATTGGGTTTGAAAACTTCACCTTAAACACTAGATTAGACTGATGTTCTGTTTTCCGTGCTCCTGTTGATTTGTTGAACCTTCCCAGGGCTGGAAAGCAAGTAGCAGCTTGATGGGGAGACGGGCTGCTAATATGATTTACCAGTCTACAGTCATGCACAATAAGTGTGAATAAATACAGGGGTCTCACAGAGTCAACCCTAGCCTTTCCTTTTCTCTTATTTTTTACTTTAAAAGAGGTATCTCAGGAAAATGAAGTGAGTAATGCATGCCCTTACAGGAGTCAGATGAGCTATGAATAAGAAGAGGGGGGGAAACAGGGAGGCAAACATTTTTGTTAAAGTGGTTGGCTGCAGTTATGTGCTGATGTGAAAAAGATATATAATAAACACTTACTGCTTTATTCTTGCATAGATGACAGCAAAGAATATGGCACTAATACCATATAACTGACATCCGCAAGAGTCACGTTGTCCTTTCAGTGCTACTGTTACTAGCGGGAAACTGACTTTTTCTTAAACCAGTTACAAGGATTTTTTTTATTATTACTATTACATAAAACCTATGTAATCTCACAACCATTATCTAATTGCTGAAGCTTTTGAGTTCACTATAGATTCCCATAAGTCAAACTAGATGCATCCCTGCTTCTGTAACATGCTCATGGTTGTCAAAATGTGTGGCTTTGGATTCCACCTCTGAGAGGCATTTGCAGTGCTGTGCACTTCAGCAGGCTCCGAAAGAAGCAGTAAGGAAATACTTTTCTTTTTATGAAGTCCAGCAGATTTATGTTTATGAAGCTTCAGCCTATACTTAAATGCTGAAAACTAGTGGGCATAAGGCAAATGGTGACCAGGGATCCTGTCTACAAGTACCTCTAGGAGGACTCTAAGAATATACTGGGTGTGATTTTTATTAAAAATAATCTGACAATCCGAAATAAGAATACATCTTTTTTTATAAAACAATAGCAGTTGTATGTTTTCTGTATAGGGTGTGTCGATAAAGGAGCAAGTACCACAGTATAATTTCACAGTCACCAAATTAAACAATTCAACTGACAGTTTGACATATCAAAACTAGTCAGGAAAACATACTGTTTTCATTCACAGATTTGAGTAACAAAAGTAATTCCCTTCAATTTCTTAGCTTTGTTTTCAGTGTGCGTTAGCATATCACAGGTATGTATGAAGAGTCCAATTTTTACTGCAACTGTCTTAAGTTATCTGGCTGGGCTTTAAAATACATGTTTTGCCAGAAAACTGGGACTGGGTCTATTCTTAGTGATCTGGCACCGTTCAGTGGTGTTACATGGGGAAACCTATCACAGGATTCTTGATCCTGTCTGTAGTTTGGTATGAGCAAGTTCGAGCCCTGTCTGCTTGATACAAACCGAATACATTGTGGATGTGTTAGTAGATTTTTCTTTTGTTTTATGGAAGGATATCAGTTTTGAGAAAACTCCACTACTAAAATCATTCTCTCTACCATGATTTTGTTAAAGTTTAACAACTGTAGAGTCTGAGCGATAACAGAATAACTGGGCTCATCTTATTGCAAGGAACAATAGGTATTCTGGGTAGAATGCTTGGCATATGAATTTTTACGTTTATGAGACGATGAGGTTCTCCGAGTGAATAAGCTCAACTACATTTTATTTTCTAGACATCTGTGTGCATACGACACCTGTCATATAGTTTACAGCTGCCACTTAGTAACAACTCTGTCACATTAAAATATTTTACAGGTATTTATAAGGGAAATCAAAACCAGCATGCATGTTTGGGGTGAAATAATGTGAATAGTATAAGAATGTCATTCATTGATTAAAAACCCCCAGTATTTTATGGACACCAAATAAGTCCCACATTTTATTGAATAAATCAAACTACTTTTATTAAATGTGCAGTTATCTGCATTTTGTGTGATGTGTCCGATCACTTCTGTAAAACAGTAAATTAATAGGGGAAACTCTAAAAAATGTGAAAGCAATTTATTTCCAATGATTCATAATTAAAATACATTTTAACACATTAAATAAAATAAAGCCATTATTGTATGAAAATTTCATTTCAAACTTACCTTAAAACTGATAGTTACAATGAGATGAGAATGTCTCCTGTGAAGGAACATTTACATGTTTACTGTCTGTCTTTAAAGCTTTTTTCAAAGAGCATTTTGATGAAAGAATTCTATTTTTGTCTTTTGTTACATCCAGTAGCCAGTAACTTGTCTTCATTTTTTCAATATATATACTATTTGTTAATGTAGAGGTGGCTAATGAGACATGTTAGATCCTTCTTTTGAATTACTTCACAATATATACCTTGCACAACATGCAGCATTTTAAAATATGCACACTGTTTCCTTTCTTTGCATATCTGTGTATTTTGTAAAGACACAGGAAATTACATTAGAAAAGAATTTAAGCCTCTCCCTGTAGTTAAGAGACTAGAAACAGAGCTGTGACACAAACTCTTTTAATCTGTCACTGCTAAAATGAATAAAAAATCCGTTCCTTTTTACAGTTTGACTAAATGACATCTGGTTGGTATTTTACAGGAGGGGGAGAAAAACTGCTACAACTATGTTTAGTAAAATCTCTTTTAATCCAGTTAATGTGAAGAACTATTATAGTAGCTATTTGGATCTGAATGTTTTTGTACGGTAACATAGACACCAGCAGCAGAGAGCTTATTCTTACCCCATCCACGTGTGAAGCTTTGAGTGAAAACATACCCATGCCTAAGACATAAAAAGGAAATAAGCTAGACTGTAATTATAATTAGTAATTAACATAAAACAAAACCTTCATGTGGTTATCTGGAGAGGGGTGTAGTGATGTTTTGATCATACTTAAATACAGTTTCCGTGGATTTCTGATTTTTTTTACTTACTAAAGAAGAAAGCAAGACAGATTCCATATTTCATGTTTGATGCTGTTTGCCTGTTTGGATTGGAAAATCTAGGTATTGCAAATTCTCTCCCAGGATACCCTACATGTTTTTATCCTTGCTGCTTTAGCTGTCAATTGTCGCATGTAATTGTGTATTTAATATCTGTTCTTCCTGACAGATAGTAAAGTGCATAATGCTATTTTGCTTGAAAATGTTGTAACTAAAAGATAAAATGGCAGTTGCTAATTCATGTAAAGAACAGTCTAGGTCAAGTTATTTGATTTTCTACTGACCCATGCAATTCTCTGAACAGGAAATTATATCATTGTTGACTTCAAGTGCTGATCTGTGATCATTTCAAAGTGTTTCATTACCTCTCATTACCAAATCTGTTAAATGAGTACTGCAGGGTTGTTTGGTGGCGTTTTGGTTTTTTTATCCTTCTTTTCAGCAATGGTACAGCAACTCCATGAAAGTCATATGCCTGTGGTTGGCTGACAGATTAGACGTTCAGCTTCACATCTACCAGCTGAAGACTCTCATCAAGATAGTGAAGGTAAATAAAATGTGTTTGTGTTAGACTGCAGAGTAAAGAGAGAAAAGTAATAAAGTATTAACATGGATAATTATAGATCACCCTACCTAAAATTTAAAAAATGTGGAATAAAGTTGTGAACTTACGTAGTTCTAAGTTGGCATTGTTTGGTTTGGTTTCATTTTTTTCCCACAGTTGTAGCAAATTTCAGCAGAAAAACAGTCTATTAAAACCTCAAATGTTAATTACATGTGCAGTAGTAATTGTCATTCACTCTGGACTCAGTGACAATTAAGATTGTTCCAATGAATTTTAACAGATTGCTGCTAGCTGTTCAGCAATGCTGCATGGTATTCCTAATAAATTAGTGTTTGTCATATTACTGATCTTTTTTGTTGTTGTTTTACCTTAATAATCCCAATAGTGTTCTTTCTCCATTTGCCCCTCTCCCCCCAAAAAATATTTTATTTTTTATCCACATGAGTACTAGTTTAATTAGAAAATTATATTCAGTATATTAGATAACATTTTCTAATTTTTCATACTCCGGGATAAGTGTCAATGGAAATACCAATCCCCACAGTCCAGTCCTCAGTCATTCACACTGGCCGATATCAAGTGCTTCCAAGCAAAGTGTAAAATACCTTGCAATAGGCAATTATGGGTTAACCTACCGTAAAAGAAAGTTTCCTCCTAATTCCCCTTCAGAACTTAGTTAATACCCTCAGGCAAGAGACAGAAAGCCATTTCAGGTTTTTTTCCTTTTAATTCTGTCTTGTTTAATGCTGAACATTCTTGTTATCTGCACTAATGTGGAATAAGAAGCACCTGTTGTCAGTCATGACCTTGATTTATTCAACATACTTTCTCATGAAGTTCATGTAAGACTGTAAAGTCAGAAGCATTTAAACTCATGGGCACCAGAATTGCAACTGCAACTTTCAGGATTCACTAGCTAAAAGAAAAAAAAGCAGAGAGATGCAAGAAAACAGTCATCATAACGATGGCACCATGGTTCCCTGAACCATCCAAGCTTAGCTTTGATATTTTTGACCTTAGCTGTTTTCTCTGGGAACAGAGAACAGGTTTTGGCTCTTCATCATGTGCCAAAATGACAAAAACAGTTTGCTGTTTGTTGCTGAACTGGACAGCTTTTGTGAAATGTTTAAAGCTCTTCTCAAGTGAAAGTAGTTATCATCCTGAAGGAGTGGGAAGAAAAGGTGTTACAGGATCTGAACCCTGTGCCCAGCGAGATCAAAGAATGAGCAGGCTAAATTATACCAGTTAAATATTACCTGGGCAACTAGAAGAAGAGGCTCTTACAAAACTGAAGTCCGGGTGAGTGAGCAGCACTATCAACCAGCCTCCCCTCTGCAGCCTGGCACACTGAATAGCCTTCTTCAAAAGAAGTAGGCTCCCAGGGGTGATGAGAACTCACTGGTTATGGCAGCAGCCTTTCTGTGCCTGTGCACCTCTTTGCTTTACACATAAATTTCAGATGTGTTATTCCATAGCACCTTCTATGAAAACAGAGAATTGAAGAAGATGATGCCAGTCATAGAGGTTCTGATCAGTGTACTGGAAGACACAAAACTTTCCACCTGTGTTTTTATGAGTGAAGAAGACAGAACAGCAGCAGGGAAATAAGAAATGATGGTTCAAGTAGAATATCATAAGGAGCTTTCACTGCTGGAGCCCAGCTGGAGAGAAGCACATGGGGAGGCACAGTTCCTCCAAACTCTTAGAGTGAGTGAAGGCACTTCTCTGTTCGCTTTTGTAAAACCTGGGAGGCTGTGCTGCCCCTGTCACCTCCTGAAAATATTTCAAAAAAGAAGTAGGAGGTCATTTTTAAGGGACATGGGATAAGCAAGAAGTAGATTATTCTTTTATGTCTGGATGCAGCAAAGGTAGTGGCATTATTAAGGATGACCAGAAGCAGCAGTGTTGTTCCCAGTAAAGCCTTATGATGGCATAAAGGTATTGTTAAATGTTTAAGACATACACAGAAGGATGTGAATAAAAAATGGTCAAGGACCAAAAGGAAAGTTAGGTAGAAATGAAAAAATAAGTTTGGAAGTGAACATTATCATCCTACAGAAGTATGTCAAGAGAAGAGCAATGACAACCCCAGAGCACTGGTCTGAGAATGGGAGGAATACAGTGTAAAACTGAGAGAAATTGCTGTAAGACCTGTTCATAGCATAAAAGCAAATGGAATGCAGTGTTACAAAAAGGGAATGCAATGGTGACACTTGAAAAAGACTAGGCAGGGTACTTACAGGAGTGTGTGAGCAAAACTTAAGCTGCGTCCATTGACTCTGAAGTTGACCTATAAAAGTCAAATAAATCTTGGTTGCAGTGATTCAAACAAGGTTTAAATAATCATCATAGATAGTGGCAGAAAAAATTCTCCCAGCTGAACGTTACCCATTTTGAGAGGTATCTTTTGCAGTTCTCTGAAGTATCAAGCGAAACAAGACCAGCTCTTTTTTTCCTCCAAGGGTTGTGCTTCGTCTCCTCTAGCAGAGAAATGGGCCTGATGGCCCTTATTTTATCTTTCATTTTCTTTTTCCCATATTCTCTTTCATAAACACTGGGAACTCACAGTAACAGCATACACAAAATAAGAAACTAGCTAGACCAACTTGTCCTTCTTAAGCCTTTTATGTTAACTTCACAAAAGATCATTTCAAATGTGTTACAACTTAAAAATAAAGACGGTAAAGTAGATGATTTTCCATATGCTTTCTTGAACATAGCATCAGTGAATAAAAATCTCCACTCAGAATTCTTACTTGACAGAAAGTCCTATCTGCTGGTTCATGGGAAGGCTGGATACCAGCGAAACAAAACTTTCTCAAGTGAAAAAAAAAAGATGTAGATGTGAGTCAAAAGGTAGATGACTTGGAATGTAAATTAACTGACTGAAGAAGTCACCTGAGAAATATATTTTATTTTTCCACATTCGCTATATATATGAATAAAATCTGAGTCAGACATTTACATTTCTGTGAAGTGACAGAACTACCTGTAGCCAAATTCACATTTCAATATGCAGTTAGAAAATTCTGTGGCTTGTAGACTCTCTAGAGTTTATAGAAATTTCACACAGCCCAGAAACTAAAGCAGCAAAATCTTTAGCAGACTGTAGATGATAGGTCCCTAGCTGCAGGAGGAGCAGAGCCGTCCCACTGGCGTACTAGGATATCCAGTGGACAGTGGACTGCTCAGACCTGTTCGAGACCATTCAGGATGTTTTATTTTTGCCACAGAAAACCTACCGGGACTTCAGGTTGCAAGGTGTGCTGGAGGGAACGCTGAACAGTAAAACCTACGATACCGTTCACAGCCGCCTGACTGTAGAGGAGGCCACGGTCTCAGTCACGGATGGAGGAGGACTTCAGGGCATTACTATGAAAGACAGTGACGAGGAGGAAGGATGATGTTATTTTACCAAGCATCTGGAGTTAGGGGTGATGGCCTGAGGGTGGGGGTTATCTTTGGCTTGGGATTTTTTTGTAACTTGTCCTTGTAGTTGCATTTATAGTTTTGCCTTATGATAGAGGTGCAGCAAGGTAATTTGCTCCATTTTTTAAAAACAAAAGTAAGATTATCAGAGGAAAAGTGCCAAGGACTTTTTGAGAACAATGGTTGTAGCATATTTTAATGTATAGCTTTGCTTAGGTCTGCAAGAACACTGGCATGGAGTTTCAGTTCCACTTGTGATTATGATTCTTTCCCTTTCGTTCGTTACCATTTGTTCTTGTATCTCCATCAAATATTGATGTCCTGTGCTGAAAACAAAATGTGTGCCTCACTTAAAACACAGCTATACAGGAAATCATTCTTGGAATAAGTCAGTGCCCTAGGTAAAAAAAATAGCGTATTTTCAGGATTACATTTTGCTTACCTTTTTTGTGCTTAATTTTACATTATGTGATGTGCATTAAAAATTTTAATCCTGGTTCTTTGTATTTTGAGGTTGGTATATATGTAATAGGACTTCAAGGACAGTCAAACACATACAAACTACTTAGGAGTGGTTTTGTGTCTATTCAGTTGCAAGTTTAAAGATATCTCATCATGTTGGATGTCAGTAAGCTTGCCATCAATGTTTCTATTTCTGTGAAAAAATTCAGGCAATAAGAACACATTTTGTTGTGACCACTTCTGTATCCACCTGTTTGTATAGAATTCTACAATTAAAAGATGTTTTCAGTATTTCAAACCATTTGAAGTGCTGTATGATTCTTCATGAGAACAAGGGGATTTTATAAAGATTATTATATTTAGTTTGTGTAGTGATTTATAGTGAATAAATTTATTTTATAGAGCAGATCTATAGCAAATATCCAGGGACATGATGCCTTGATAGCGAGAAAAAGCAATCAAAAATCCCTCACTGGCGGATGAACAGACAGTGCCTGCTGTCCATTTTTCTATGCCCTTCCTATGAGCTGGAAAGAATGCACATTTTCATCAGTCAAAATTCACACAACTTATGAAGAATACCAGGAGGTAGGATGCGTTTTTTGGGGGGAGGAAGGAGAGTTGTTGGGTTTTTGGTTTTTTTGCAGGAACGTGACTAAATTGTGGGTTTGTGTAGACAAAACACAGATGATATCCAAAGACATAAGGAAAGTTGCTGAGGTCCTTGTTGAGCCATAATGTTCTACTCAAAAGTCTTCACTGATGGACTGCTGAGGATTTATGAAGCTTCTGCACAAGATCAGACCATAGGACTTCAGGGGTCTGCCACAAGCATGCAGGGCTGCTGCAGGAGCCGAGAATGAAAGCTGGAAGGAAGTTGTCAAAGTTGTCTTTCAGCACACTTGGAAGCCCAGCCAAGCAGGGAAGGGCAAGTTACTCCTCTTCCTAGCTACCTATGGAGAAATGCAAAGTGGTGTTTTTTTCCTGTGGCAAACCAGCTTCCTGGTAAGCACGGGAGCTGGGGTGACTTCAGTGAAAAGGAAGAAAGGAGAGCTGGTGAGGGAGACCATTCTCGGCTCTTTGTGCTCGCCCAAAGGTGCCTGAGGCGGCTGGGCTGGGCGGGCAGGGGTGCAGGCACACCCCGCCTCAGGGTGCGCGCTGTAGGGAGC